TTTAAGAAAACTCCCTATCATATATGTAGTCTCTCATCATTAGCAAGCCATAAATTCTCTTTGAAAACAAGTACACTTAAGAAAGAACATCATCTTAAATTTATTAACCCGATTCCAAATTATTTCTTATTTTATTTCCATTTTAATATTCCTCATTGCATTTCCATTTTTCCCTTATACTATTTCCAATTACTATACTCCACAACATCAAAATCCAAAGGATTAGAGTTCAAACATAACACAAGAATAACAAACCCTTTTTAATTCAATTTCTCGATTATTTACAAAACAAACTCACAATCTTCCCTTATAGTCACAAGCAATCCATTGAGTCCGTCATCACCAATCCTTAATCCAATTGCCATTTCATTTTCCCTCATTTCAATTAATTTTCATATCAAATACCAGATCCAATAACAAGTCATCTCCATGAGTCACACGCTTTACCGGTCACAAGTCGAAAGGAATACGGAACCTCACGCTTTACCGGTCACAAGCCGAAAGGAACGCGGAACCTCACGCTCTACCGATCACAAGCCGGAAGGAATGCGGAATCTCACGCTTTGCCGGCTCAAAATACGGCGAGAAATGGATCCCAAGGTAACATCATAATCCATCATTACAATTAGTGGGCAATGCCAACACATCTTTCATTGTTTCCGTAACACAATAGTTCAATACACATCCACCATATATTAAAATTCCATTTACATAACAAGTATAAATATGTTCCACGACCTTCTTCATTATCCATCAAATCATTCATTGTTTCGTAACAAAAATATAACAACACATCCATAGCGGCATAAAGATTCATCTTTAAAGTGTTCATAATTCTTGGGTTCAAACTATTTCGATACTTTTCCATATTATTGTCAAGTCTTCAAATTCAATTTTTACAACACATTGATTATTAATTACTACCCAAGGTTATAAATTAAATCTCCAACATTTAATTTCTTTGATATAACTCCTTCATATAACACCGTCATATTTTACAATCTCATATTTATCATTGTTCACACTCATCTTAACCCAACATAGACTTAATTTCATAAATTTAATGTCAATTGAAGTATTCTTCATTTTCCAAGATAAGACTTCATAACTAGAGTTAAACATAAATTTGGGCTTTTAGTTTTGAGGTATAAAATCACTTTCTAACTACACAAGAAAATTCTTAAATCTTCTCTTCATCATCTGATCACAAATTCCGTATCATCCATATCATTAACAATTTCTTCTCCCAAATTTTGTTTCATATTATCACATGATTTATAAGGTCCACAACAAGAGTTCAATCGCAAATTTTATATAATTTCCAAACACTTTCAAAATTCAATTAAACTTATATATGTGCAATTCAATACCTCAATTTCATGATTCTACTTCCATCTTAGGCAAAACCATCAATCATCTACATGTACCAAGCTAGGGTTTTTAAAGAAATTAAAGCTTTTCACCCAAACACTTTTTATTCCAACTCTTCTATTAATTATACATCCAATTTCATAAGCCCATAATCATAATCCAAAAATTAAACCTCAACATTTCAAACCCTAAACCCTCAATCTCGTGATTTATCATAGTATGCTTACAAATATAAATTTTGTATTTATATAAGAAAATACCACAAATCTATCTATAAATGAGAGTATTTAAGGAGAACTAGAACCCCTATCTTAAGGATCAAGCAAGACAGCAAAGTTTCAAGAAGAATCCTTCGCAAATCCAAAAATCTAATCGGTTGAAAATGTTGAGCTTCATGTATTCTTCCCTTTTTGGTAAGAGATCTTGGCCAAATCTTTGAGAAATGGAAGCTATTTGGGTCAAGAAATCAAGGGTTTTCGGACCTAGAGTGAGAGGAAGGAAGAGGGAAAAGGAAAGTGCAAAGAATGATCTAGAAAATCACTTGTTGAATTCGCGCAGTCCGCTCGAGCGCCACTTTCTGTGCTCAAGCGTACTTGCTTCCAGCACAAATACCAAAACTTCAAACGGGCATAACTCTCTCACCCGGACTCCATTTTAGGTCATTCTTGTGTTCAAATTGAAGCCCCGGAAACAAGCTTTCCAATGGTTTTATCCTCATACCCAAATTCAAAGTGTGGAAAAAGAAAAGGATAAAAGAGTGACTACTATTCGTAGGAAGATTATTCGAATTAAAGTTTTTGGTCCAATCTTACTTTACTATCATGTTACCACTTCGATCAATGACCCAAAATAAAACGAGGGGACTCCAAACACAATAATAAAAATTTCAAGAGCAATCCCACTAGTCCCAAAAATTCAGACTCAACCAAGCAGACTGCTCGAGCGTCCAATCTTGCGCTCGAGCAAACAAACTAACAAAGCCAACTGCTCAAGCGACCACTTCTGTGCTCGAGTGGAAATTCACAACTCTCAGAATCTCAGACAGACTGTAAAAGTACTGGAAGCCTCACAAGTCCGCTCAAGAGTCAACTCTTACGCTCGAGCGGAGCGAAAAAAATTTGGAGTGTTACAATTAAGTTGAGAGAGATTACCATTTCACCTTGTTTAATTAGTCTTAACATGGATTAGATTGAGTCAAAACCAATCCTTTTGTCCTACACATATTTTTGTCTTACCTTGAGTCAACAAAACTAAATGATGTGGAGGAAAAATTTTGTAGAAAGAAGAAAAGCTAGGAGAAACTAGAGAAGAGGAGAAAAAGAGAGAAAGAGAAGAGAAAAGAAAAACCTCAGAGAAACTACCTCAAATTCATCCAACAAAGTGTTCTAAGGTGAGATTTCTTTCCAAATTCTTGTAGTAAACCCTCCTAGCATCCAACATCAAGAAAAAGTTAGAATCTAAAAGTTAAAAATTAAGAAATTTGAGATAGAAGGAGGAAGGTTTGCTTAAGTTGAAGAACTAGATAAGAAACTTGAAATTTCATCATTTTGAAGTAGTTTTTGATGTTCTTGATGTATCTGAAGCTCTATCTCCATATGTTCTTTTAATTTTCAAGAGTTTTGCATATTTGATTCATGTTTTGAAGGAAAGAAATGAAAGGTTTTGGAAAAGGAGTTAATTCTTGAAATTCTTGACAAATCTTGAAATTTGATCTTTGATTCTTGAAACCAAGCCAAGTTTTGATGTTTTTGATTTGGAAAACAGCCCTATTTTCATGTTTGTCATCACATTTACATGTTTCAGCTTGATTTTTGCTTGAGCCCTAGCCTTAGAATTAAGGAAAAAAAACACTTGGAACTTGATGAATTTTCGAATAGATAGAATTTGCCCAAAACCGCGCGTGCGGCTGAAAGCTCCACATGTGCGACTAACTCTCCCAAAACACAATTCCGATTCTGAAAAAAGGGTACGTGCAGGCCGCACGTGCCCTACCTATCCCGCACGTGCAGTTTGAGCCCTGCACTTTGTTTCATGCACATGTTTGTTTCATTCTCTCTCACATAGAACATTCCTTGTATGTATTTGAACCTTAATTGAGAATTGAATTAGGTTCAAAATAACGCTTAACACTTGAAAGAAGTTTAGGAAAACATTAAACTAAGTTAAGTACACGATTTATTATGTTCACGCAAGTTAAGCTAGATGCCTTAATATCTTGTTATTGCTTTGTGTAGGTCAAGCGTTGGACAAAGAGAACCCCCTTGTTTAAAAAGCCATTTGTGAGTAGTAATTGGGTAACACTATGTTGATAAATTGTGTTTTCAATGCAAAACCTGATTATGTTTACAAAGCTAATTTGTGATTTGCTATGAATGAATATCCTATACTCTTTTATCATGTATTTAGATGGCATTTTTAGATCATGTCCCAATATTGGGGGAATAACCAATCATGTTATGTTGGCCAAACTCATCTTGTTTCGTTTAGCTGGTACCCGGGTTGCTTAAGAACCTTGTAATCCTTAAAATGTCCATCATTATATAATGTTTACAAGTCTGGTTATGCTTTGTCTTGCACAAGTTAAAGATATGTTCAAAGTAGTGTTTTGATGTAATGTTTATAAAGCTCATTGATGTTCATTCATATACTGCTTTATTTTATTACTATTCACTAGGTTTTGGCTCACCTCTCTTCCCTATACGTATGTCGGTGATGGTGAAAATCAGGTTCAAGAAGAGAGGTCAAGGTAGAAATCTTTTTCTTTTGTTTTTTCACTTTTGGGAGCAGCAGTCTAGTGATGATAGCTTTGTATATATATGATTTGGTTTTTTTTAAGAGTATATTTGTAAATGTTGTACTTTTCTTTTTGTGTTGTTTGGACTTATAAATGTTAAATAAAATGAAAAACTTGCTTGTTTGGTTTCATATGACTTATGCACATGCTCTTAATGGACTCTTGGTAATTACACTGCTGGAAAAATGACTTTTAGCGGCGTTTTAAAAACGCCGCTATATGTACGAAAAACGCCGCTAATTCCTTTAGTGACGCTTATCACCAAACGTCGAGGACGCGGCCGTCGCTATAAGTTTATGACGCTTTAAAAACGTCGTAAAATTAGTATAGGCGGCGTTTTTAAAAACGCCGCTAAATGCGATAAATAATGATAAAATGACATCATCCAATATTTAGCGACGTTTTTGAAACGCCGTGATAGATTTTTTTATTTTAAAAAAATGTCTGTTGGCACTGTAGTGGCGTTTTGAAAAAACGCCGTTATAGCTCTTTTTTTTTAAAAAAAAATTGTGCTGAATCCGTTATATTTAACTAAAAAACATACCTTTAATAAAGTTAAAAAATAACAATAATATGAATAAAATTTTACAGCTACTTCAATATATTGACTAAATAAACATTACATGATTGTGTCTGAACCAAAATCAAACAACAAACACAATCAAAAAATAAAAAGAAAAAATAGGTTAAGTCATTTGCTTGCACATGCAGATGCAATGGAATAGTCAAGCATATTACACATCATTGCACGGCAGAATAGGGATTCGTATTCAATTACCCAAAATCAAACATTTAACACAACAATAATTGTCAAGTTACTTCACAGATCAAAGTAAATGTGTTAACTTAATGTGCCTGTTTCTCATGAAACCTCTGTCAGATTTGTCCTGGGATGCAAATTAATTTGCCTGCCTTCCAGATTTCTTGCAACCACTGCTCTCATTTCATCATCAAAACCTCTACATTAAATGATTGCAAAGGAAGCAGTATCAAGAACACAAATGCATTAATCAACAAAAATAAAAACTGGTATTGACCAAGAAAGTCCTGGCTATAACAGTTTTCAAAAGTAGTAAAATGGATTATCATGATATAATTGGGAAGCAAAGTTATCTATATCATAGCAAACTGATCTGTAACTTACATTCTATTATACTTGCTCTATTTCTTCTCTGATCTTTTTGTTGTCTTTTTTGACTGTTGTTTTTGTCATGTAATGTAATGTAATGTAATGAGTAGGAGATTGAACAACAATAGCTTGACTGGAGCTATTCCTTTGTCTTTAGCCAAAGTCCCTCAGCTTGCTTTCTTGTGAGTATTGGCTTTGTTTGTTTCAGTGTCTTGAAAATTGGAACTACCTGAAATGTTTCTCTGTGCTTTTCTGAATCATAATAATAAGTTTTGTTTCAAAATGTGAATAAATGGTGTGTGGTGTTTGTCAAAACACTTTTTGATTGTTCAGGGACTTGTCTTATAACAATCTCCATGGACCCGTGCCCAAATTTCCTGCCAGAACATTCAAGTATGGCTCTCTCTCTCTCTCTCTCTCTCTCTCTCTCTCTCTCTCTCTCATTTCTATGTACATGATGTTGGCATGTTTGTATTTCTGTGTCTGATTATTCTCCTCTCTCATTGTTCATAGTGTTGTGGGTAACCCTCTCATTTGTGGAAGCCACTCCACTGAAGGTTGCTCCGGATCGGCCATCCCTATCCCTCTTTCTTCAACTCTGAATTCATGGACTGGTACATCTCTTCCTCTCTTGGTTGAATTGTTGACAATCAACCCATCTAAAAAAAGGTTTTATTTATATCCACAACTCAAGCCTCTTGCTTGTGGAGTAACTTTATTATTTATGTTCTTCATATGCTCCCCACCACCTCACAAGTGTGGCCAGATTGTTATAAGCAAGTCAAACATGTGCAAATATCAGAAAGGCAAACTATATTCCTAGAGAAAATTCATATAAAAAACATCACAAGAATAATGTGACAATGACATTTTTGTAATAGAAGCCAACTTGTGAGTGTTTTGTTTTAAAGTAAAAGGTTCCCATGGGGCCACATCCACATCATTATATTATAAGTATTGGGTAAGTTGTGAGATTTGAACGCTAAATATATTGTCTATTTTGATACAATGTTGAATTGTTGATTACTAACTCATCTCAATACCTATGTTGTTAGAGAGGAGTAAATTTGCTATTTATTATTTGTGTGTCCCTGGCAATCAATTTTACCCATATTAAACTTTTCCTCCTACAATTTTATAGGAACAAGTAGCTCCAAGAAACTGGGTATTGCACTTGGGGTGAGCTTGAGCTTTACCTTTCTCATCCTCACAGCGGTTGCTCTCTTCTTTTGGAGGAAAAATAAAAAGAAAAAGCAAAGCATTCTCAACATCACTGGTCAGTAATTCAGAATTCAACCTCAATGATACATATATATCAAATCACATTTAGAGAACTCCAAGTTGTCACAGACAATTTTAGCTCCAAGAACATACTTGGTGCTGGGGGTTTTGGGAATGTGTACAAGGGAAAGTTGGGGGATGGAACAATGGTGGCGGTGAAACGACTAAAGGACGTTGTTGGAACTGCCGGTGAATCACAATTTAGGACTGAATTGGAGATGATTAGCCTTGCGGTCCATCGGAATTTGCTGCGGTTGATGGGATATTGTGCCACACCAAATGAGAGGTTGCTGGTGTATCCTTACATGTCTAATGGCAGTGTGGCCTCAAGGCTTAGAGGTTGGTATCTAATCTTTTATCTTACTTCCCTGCAACTATTGTCACTTTTATAGTCACTATTGTTGCCAACTTGCCAGTTCTCGCAATCACAATGGTCTTGATTCCTCTAAAGTTCTTATTAGATTAGGGCATGAACTATAAATCATTGTAAGTAATTATTTTTGAGCTTGCTATGGTCCACCATATATTAGGGGGCCTAGAGACAAATGGGATTGTCAACTCCCGGCATCCAGTTGTGCACTAAGAAACTTTTCTGAGTTTTTTACCAAATCGATGTTGAAACCAAGGTTCTGAAAAGCAGTAAACACCCTGCAAACAGCATTGAAATTGAGAAGAAAACCAAAACAAACTGAATGGTGTAACAACTTGCAAAGGCATCAACCATTACTAATGCTATCTACTCTAGGGTATGGAGGATGTAGCATCAACGCTTTATCATGTCTGTACATATACTAGCAAGTACAAGCAGATGGAGGTGTAGTTGAACTTTATTGTTTTGAATTGAAATGCTAGCTAACAGTTTGCTAACCAGCACTAACATCTCACTAGATTAAATGTTTTTAGCTTGTCCTTTTGGCAATAAAGTTTGAAATTGAGGGACTTATTACCAAAAACCCCTATAGATAGAGAAATTTAAAAAGTTCAATATAGTTAACAAAAATCTTTAGTTGCATGGTTTTCTTGAATAAATCTAGAATTGTTCACAAATTATGTTATTAACACCAACAAAGATTTTCTCAGTAGTGCATATTCTTTTACTAGACTTACAGTTTAATGCTAGACTGAAAATATAATTGCAGATTTGCAAAAAATCTAAAAGTTTATATTTATGATTTTGTATATTGATGATATTTTGCTTGTCAATAATGTACGTGATTTATTGCATAAATTAAGAAATTTCTCTTTAAGAACTTTGAAATTAAATATATTAGTGAGACAACCTATGTGATAGAAACTGAAATATTTCTGAATGAATTCCATGAATTTTTTATATTGTCTCAAGAAGTATATATTAAAAGTTCTATAGAGATTCTGTATGAAAGAATATTCACATAAAATTATCCATATAAATCCAGTCTTATGCAAAAAATTTATAGAATCAATTAGAATGGAAACGATTCTTTATATATTTATTGTAAAAAATTTAATGCTCAGACAAGGAAGTGATAAAGTAATCCTAAGGAATAAAATATTACTTGCTCACATTTATGAGGTCTAATAATCTTGAATTGATTAGTTACTTAGATTCAGACTTTAGATGATATATTGATGGTAGAAATTTCATTTTTGGTTCTTTGTTTTTATTATATGGAGGAGCAATATTAAGAAAAGTGTAAAACGAACTATCATAAGTATCCTCTATGAAAGTTGAATTTGTCATGAATTATTATTGCGAAACTTCATCTCAGAACTTGGGATTGTTGACTTTTGTTGCCAAGTTGTTGAGAATTTATTGTGATAATTTCGCAATTGTTTTATTTTCTTAGAATGACAAGTATTCTAATGATGCTAAACACATAAAATTGAAATACTTTATCGTTAAAGAAGAATTTCAGAAACAGAAAGTGTCAATAAAACACATAAGTATATAACTTTTAAGTGCAGATCTATTGGTGAAGGGATTACTCTTAAAGACAATTAAGAAATTTGCCAATTAGGTCTTGAATGTAATCCATAACAGTTGTTTATGATTGATTGTGTTATTTGACACATTGAGATCTCATTAATTGTATTTCTGATATATTTCCTATTATGAAATGAGTACGTACATATATAAGAATGAATGAATGACAACAAGAATAGTCTTTCATAAAAGACATTATCGTTGGACCTCTTTGTACTCTTCACTTAAAGGACTATATTAAACTAGTTGCTAGTGTTGCAGTATATGGAAGGGACCATATTGCACTATTGGTGTAGAACTGCCATGACTCATATTAGTGAACTATTTAATTATAACATTATGATGATAACCAAATTAAAGGTAATATTGAATATGGTTTATTGCGCGCCTAATGTTTAGCTTGTTAAATCTTGACGTAAGTTCTCATATGGGCCAAGTGGGAGAATGTAAGACTAAATTATTTATTTAGTCATTATATTGACCCACATGATATGGTAATATGAATTAGAGATTTGGCAGGATTATGATTCCATATTTTTTGCTACAATTAATTGGTAAATAAAGAAGAGTGTTTTCTAAGTATCCTATTTTGATGGGAAAGTGGAATCATTGTTCAATAAGAAAACTGGTCCTCTCTCTGCCTATAAAAGGACATTCAGGCTACCCATCAAATTAATTCTAAATTCAATGTATTCTAAAGAGGGCCAAGAGAGAGAAACTCTTTGCCACTAATATTATTATTAGGTTTATGTTCAATCAATTTTGGGTAAGTCGAAGGCTTCGCATAACTGATTCGGATATGTTATTTATTTTCCGTTATTATTTGTGAAAATCATGATAGTTCACGATTTTGGATTATGAAGGTTGTTATATGCATAACACCATAAAATTATTTACATCATTTACTAAACCCTCTACAAGTAATGGCTGTCCTTTGGCCTTTGCTCTCAGATAATGAAGAACAAGTTCTTTGTCCGTTGGTATAAGTTTGTATCCTATTGTAATCTTGGCTGCCAGTGCTAATTTTTCTTCAGAAATAAAATAGTCGAAAAAAGTAACTGAAAGACTAAAGATTTTTTTTTTCTTTTCTTGGGAAATACTAAGAATTTGAGAGAGATTAGATTATGGAAACAATATGAGAAAGTAAAGTGAGAAGAGAGTAATATATAGGGGCATTGAGACTTAGCCGACTATGTTTTTGAAGTTGGGTAGTGTTTGGTTTTAGATGAATTTCTTTCTTCAATAATAAGTTTGTTTGCATTACAAGCAAAATAATAATAATTTGTATTTTGTAAACTAGGTTAATCAAATGCTATCTTCTGTTGATAAATGAATATAGGGTTGATTTTATTATTATTAAATGCTATCTTCCATGCATGCACTTTGTTTCCTATTTTAGTTTCTCTAAAAATCATTGCCATCCAATCATTTGAGAACTTGTAGTAAATCACATAACTGTCTAATCTTAGCGATCCAACTATTTTTTTTTTATTTTTTAATTAATTAATGATATTACAATCAAGAGAGATTTGCTCAAAATCCTCTCATAATAAAATTCTAATGCATTAAGAATAACCATAAAACATTTTCCTTAAAAAATCTAACACATACCACTATCACGAAAATATAATTAGTAAGTAATTTAATATTTCAAATTTTAAAATAATATAACTTTGATTTAAATGTCATTTTTTAAAAATATTAGTATTTTTAAAATTCTCTTATCATGATATATCAAATAAGATCTATGTTGACTATGAAATTCTTCAAAAAAAAAAACAAAATATCATCGAAATTGATATAAATAATAACTTGTTACTTTGTCTTACTCTAATTCAAAGTAACATTTTACTGTTACAAAAAACAGAGTACATACTAGATGAACCAGCCAAAAATACACATACACAATATTTTTAAACACGTATAAAACAAAATAAAATGGTCATCGTCAAAAGAGTTCTGCGATATATATATATATATATACATGGACAATATTGTCTAGGAAAAAAAAAATTTACTATGTCCGTACTCAATTATGCGCCTCTTTCTTAAGGGGTTTATGAAGCAAAATAAATTGAATTATCATTTTCACCAAATAAGGATCCAATTGAGAGGTTTGGGCTAAAATTAATAATAAGGGGACTTACATGTAGGTCCTAATGGCTGACTTATCGTTCAATACATCCTATGATAATTAATAGCATTTTTCATCAAACACTATTAAAAATGTCACTAATTGTTAATTTTTAGCGACAGTTTGAAAATTGTCACAAAAAATGTTACAAATTATAAGTTTTAGCAACAGTTTAAAAAAATCGTCACAAAAAAAAGTCATTACTTTTCAACTTTCAGTCAGGTTGAAAAATTCATCACAAAAGCGTCATTAATTGTAAGTTTTAGCAATAATTTATAAAAACCGTGATAACAAAAAGTTACTAATTATCAATTTTTAGCCACATATAAAAAATCGTCACAAAAAATTATTTTTAACAACAATTTTACTATGCTTAATTTTTAATAGGACATGATATGAATTAAATCCAACTATTAAAACCTATTTATAATTTACCCTTAATAATAATCATTATTCCTATCTAAGAAAAAGAAAATCATTATGAAAATCAAACACAACACAATTAATACAAATAAACTTCCAAACTTGAGGAATAAGACACATGTACACTAAAAAAAAAATTTAGTCACCAAAAGTCAGTATTTAGTCACCGAAAGTTTTAGTAGCCTAAAACTTAGTAGCTAAATCCTGAACAGTGCTGACCAATTTAATTTTAAGTTGTCTATTGTACACCTTTTGGCTAAAAATTTGTTATGCAAATTTGACCCCTGAGGTTTATATTTCCATAACAAATTGCCCCCTGAGGTTTTTATTTTCATACAGATTCCCCCCTAATTTGTTATGCAAATTTGACCTTCAGGGGGCAATTTGTAATTTCTCAAACCTCAGGAGGGAATCTATATTTTTACCAAACCTCGAGGGGGGTGGTTGTAATTTGCCCATATTTTAATCGCCAATTTTGGTCGTCAAAAGTGTAAATTGTTGTAATGTGAGAATATTCGAATCAGGAACCTCCTAATGAGGTGTAATACCCAATATGTCAATTTCAACATGGCAGTCCAACAGTTCTATTTTGGCTGCAAGAATGAACTCAACCCGATATGTCAAAACCTGACATGGCTTTGGCATCACATCTTCAAGTCAATTTTGACATGTTCCCCACTTCATATAGCGACCCCGGTCTTTTCCCATTTGACTATTGTGTCCGGACATAGGTTCCGTAGATTCTGTCATTGTATAATGGTTGTTGTTGTCCCTCTCTGAAAGATGACACCGTTCTGGAGCAACATCGTGAGAATGATAAGGGTTTAGAGAGCGTTGAGAGAGAGGCGAGATTTGAAGGCGTGAGGATTCAATATAAGGGTTTACAAAGGCTTTAACAAATATTCTGAGATTCAAAATAAGCTTCGAAATTGAGAACGAATCACCC